TGGTTGGGCTGAGAATCAATTAGGTACATTTTGTTTAAATTGGAAAACGTTGAGAAAACAAAGGTTATGCAACCCAAATTCTAGCTAAATCTCATGAGGAGTGTAACACCCCGTTCTAGAACCGGTTTGTTAACATCGCATTATGATATTAAGCGCAGTTACAATCACATGGGTTCAATTAAAATCCGGATAAATTTTTCATTTTAAAACTTACCGAACTTATAATACCCAATTTCGTGATCATAACCATATTACCTTGCGGAAACAGATAAATTAAGCTTAACATCATGTTCATTTTCCATTCTTAAACCATTAATTTACTTCTTGTTTAGTTCAAAACTTCTACTATATTGTAGGTTTCTTCATTAGCTACCAGTGGCTTCAAACCGTGCTCAAATCGGAGCACTGTAGCCCAAGTTAGGACAATTTGAAGCAACACAAGAAAGTGTTGGTCACAGGCCCCGCGCGCTTCAGCGCGCTACCGGGCGCTCAAGCGCGCGCTATCGGGCGCTAAAGCCTCCATCTGGGCGCTTAAGCGCACGGAGGCAGTAAGCATCAGGCATTCCAGTGTGGATGGGCGCCTAAGCGCGCATCAGGGCGCTCAAGCGCACTACCCTTGGCGCTTAAGCTCCCACTGGGACGTTTTAGCGCGCAGAGACAGAAGCATCTCCTCCTTCAGTGGCTAAGGGCGCTCAAGCGCGCAACCCTGGGCGCTCAAGCGCGCAACCCTGGGCGCTTAAGCCCCCACTTGGGCGCTCCAGCGCGAGGAGGCAGAATGCATTGGCACTCGCAGGGGCAGCAGGGCGCTTGGGCGCGCTCCTGGGCGCTTAAGCGCGCTGCCAGGGAATTCCAATTCCCACATTTCTCAAGTCCAAGCCTAGGGGAAGATGCATCCCCATTACAAACCCCAATTGTCCATGCCCCAACACTAAATCCTAGCACTCATCCAACCTCTCCTCATGAGATTTAGCTAGAATTTGGGCAGCATGACCTTTGTTTTCTCATTGTTTACCAGTTTAAACAAAGGGTACCTAATTGATTTTCAGCCCAACCAATTCAACAACTCAATACATAACAAGCATGCATATATTGAATTTCAAGTAGGCATCATTTACATTGCATATCCTTTACAAATCATAGAACTTAGCTTACAAAACACTATGATCATTCCCTTGGCTCCCATCAACAAAAGGTGCAACCAAAGGCATGAGCATAGGCTAAGTTCATCCAATGAATCAAGATATACAAATGACCATGGGCTTTCAAAATAAAACCCTATACATGTCAACTACAAAAGGCATGCATAAACTCAAAAGAAATGCCACATTTCATGCATAATCCAGATATGGCCACTTGCCACCAGAGGCTCCTGCAGCATCCTTACCTGAAAGGGGGTCCCACAACACGGGGTGAGATATACGAATATATCCAGTAAACCAGGGGTCCTTGGAGCATCTCTCCACCCCACAGTTCCATATCAGTGTAATAGCAATAACAATAATAATGCAGTAAATACATATCCATGCAAAGTGCAATAACATCTCCAGGAGAAATCCCTCGAGCTCTCAAGCTGTCCTAAGGAAACTCAGATGCAAATAGTCCTACTGGCCAGCTAACTACCAAGTATGATTTACGCATCGTCATGCAACATACCAACATAGGGAAACACCATCCTATGCCACACCAAATGCATACACATACGTATAACAAAGCATTACACTATTTTATTGCATTTATATACACAATCACAACCTCCACCCTTTCAGGGCTTGGTAGAACCGTCAAGGGAATTACACCCAAGGTCCGAAGGCTTACCTCAATGCTTCAGTCGACCTTTGTTCTTCACCAATGTCAATAATACTCTACTCCAAAACCAACACCTACACATGGTGTAATGCAATCAACACATTGCATCCAAGAGTATTTCACAATCAACCATCAACTACTCAATTCAAGACACAACACAAGTATGAGCTTACCAATTACAATGAGCTATTCAAGCTCCATAGCTTGCTCCAATGGTTGATCACTCACGGTTGGTCCAAATGTCTCAATCCTAGACATCATTAGGACACAATCAATCATTCAACTCACCAATTGTTCAACATGCTAGAATACTAACCAATCCAAGCATGAACTTTCCAATATTATGAACAATTATCAAATGACTATCTAGGCTCATTTCCACCGATTAAATGTCGTTCCTAGCATTTTTCATAATATGCTCTAAGCTTAAATCTTCCTAGAACATAGTTAATTTACTCACAATTTCTAAAATTCCCACTTTACTATTCACAAAACCCTACTCATGAAATTTTCCATGAAAATAAGGTTCAAGGGTTTAAATCTTACCACCAATGGTTGCACAACAATGATGTGAGTGCTCCTCAAGCTCCCATGGAGGTAGAAACTCTCAAAACCCCAATTTTCACCAAAGGGCCGAATTTTTGAGAGGTAATATCTCTCTCCACAATGCTCCCCACTCAAAACAAAGCTAGGATTATGAAAGAGGAGGAGATTTGGAGTGGTTTAGGCTTTGGAATCACTCAAAATGGTTGAGTTTTGCTCTCTCTCTCTTCCTCCCTTCCTTCTCCCTCCTTTTCTCCTTCTTCTTCTTCTTCTCTCTGTTTTCTGGCGACGGGTTTCTGGGGGAAATGGGGGTCTTTTGGTAGCTTAAGTCACTTAACATAGGTTAAGTGGCTTTAAGCGGGTATTGGTTCGTCTATCTATTCAACTCCAATAATTACCAAACTTTACCCAAAAGTCTGGAATATTATTCTAGGAATGTTACTATTTTTATTTTTATAATTTGGGTACTTTCACCAGTACCCATTTATACCCCTTAATTTTCACTGAGTACACTTTTTAACTCCAAAGTGACTCAGATTCATTTAATTAAGCCTTATACTTAATTTCACTCACTAAAACATGTTTAATTAATTAATTACACTAGATTTACTAATTAATTAAGTTGGGCTATTATAAGGAGAGGTTGGATGAGTGCTGGGATTAAGTTTTGAGACATGGACAATTGGGGTTTGGAATGGGGATGCATCTTCCCCTAGACTTGGACTTGAAAAATGTGGGAATTGGAATTCCCTGGCAGCGCGCTTGAGCGCCCAGGAGCGCGCTCAAGCGCCCTGCTGCCCCTGTGAGTGCCAATGCATTCGGCCTCCTCGCGCTGGAGCGCCCAAAGTGGGGGCTGAAGCGCCCAGGATTGCGCGCTTGAGCGCCCTGGTTTGCGCTTAAGCGCCCTTCGCTACAAAAAGATGGGATGCTTACTGTCTCCGCGGGTTTTAGCGCCCAGAGTGGGGCTTAAGCGCCCAGCGCGCTTGAGCGCCCTGGTTCGCGATTGAGCGCCCTTAGCCACTGAAGGAGGAGATGCTTCTGTCTCTGCGCGCTAAAACGTCCCAATGGGAGCTTAAGCGCCCAGGATATCGCGCTTGAGCACCCTGGTGCGCGCTTAAGCGCCCATTTACACTGAAATACCTGATGCTTCCTGCCTCCGTGCGCTTAAGCGCCCAGATGGAGGCTTTAGCGCCCGATAACGCGCGCTTGAGCGCCCGGTAGCGCGCTGAAGCGCGCGGGGCCTGTGACCAACACTCTCTTGTGTTGCTTCCAATTGTCATAACTTGGGCTACAGTGCTCCGAATTGAGTGCGGTTTGAAGCCACGCGTAGCCAACGAAGAGATCTACGATATAGTAGAAGTTGTGAAATAAATAAGAAGTAAATTAATGGTTTAAAGATGGAATAAGAACGTGATGTTAAGCTTGGTTTATCTGTTTCCGCAAGGTAATATGGTTATGATCACGAAATTGGGTATTATAAATTCGGCATGTTTTAAAATGAAAAATTTATCCGGATTTTAATTGAACCCATGTGATTGTAACTGCGCTTAATATCATAATGCGATGTTAACAAACCGGTTCTAGAACGGGGTGTTACAGACAGAGTTAATGACATCTTTTAATTCCTTCGAAGTTTAAACATATCAAAACTTCAATTTAAAATTAAAGTCTTATTGGCTAACATATATTGAAACAAAACAAACAGTAGAAGAGAATGTCACACCACAGCAGTTAATCTTATTTGATGAAGAAGAAGAAGATATACAAAAGGAGAAAACAATTCTCATAGATAACAACAGCAGAAAAGACAAGTGTTTTCACTGCAACATTATTGTCATTAAGATCTTATTAATTCACTTTCAAGGAGACCAACTCTGTTTTCCCTTTATTATTATTATTATTATTAAAAGATTTTATGCTTGAAAAAAAATAGACATTCTTAGTCTCACTCTATTTGTCCTCCTATGTCTGATCCATCTCTGGATTCGCTATCAGTATTTCTGTTTGGTCCTTTATCTATTCACCCTCCATTTTTTTTGCGTCTGATTTTCTCCTCTTTCTGCCCTATCTCTTGTTTTCTTTCAAGATATCTGTTCCTATCTCTCCAAACTCACTGTCTTCTCCTTTTTTATGCTTGAAATGAGCTCAATACGAGGAATCAAAATACACTTGCTTTTTTTGCTTAAAAGTTTGTTGGTTGCCTGTGTCCAATGTGTTTGGATTAGATGCATAGTGCAGTAAGAAGTTAGCTTGTTTGCTGCAGCATAGTGCAATGCTTGATTTTTATTTATTTATTTTTTAATTTTAAGGAAAGTAAATTGATTTGATGATATCTTTAAATTACCTGAGATGAGCTTTGTTTTATGTGGGAATTGAGTTCCCACTTTTTAATATATTAACGTGTTTTTCTTTTTCTTTTTTTAATTTATCGGACAAAAAAAAAAAAAAAGAGAGCCTTTGCGCTAACAATACTCAGCAACCTTATCTGGACTTGCACATTAACATTATCTTCTCTTAAGCAACGTAAATTTCCCAAGCATCAAAAGTGCCCAAATAAAGGCATTTAGGTACCAAACAAATTGTCTTACATACGTTTTCCCTTTAAACATCCTGATACAAATAGAGCACAAGTTAAATATATGTATTCCACCAAATATTTTCCTCACAGTTCTATAGCATTATACCTTGTATTGTCAAGCAATCATGAGATTTATAATAACAAGAAATGGACTTTTAACAAGACTTTCCAATGCAAATCACAAAACAAGGGAACCTATATTATGACAATGACATGCCCAATCAAAAATTGTTGAAACCTCAGTTCCAGTTCAAGCCTAAACATTCTCCCATTCTCTTGATAAGTATTGTGAAGATATTTTCATTAGGCTTCGGTGATGGCTCCACTTTCACATTAGATGATGGTTGCACGTTCAATTCAGGTGATGGCTCCATTTCCACAATAATTGACTGGCCACATGTCAGATAGATATATGTCTCCTTAACAATCATTCCATTCTCAAATGCTACAAAAATCTCAATATTGTCACCTGCTCCTAGATTTGATATTAACCCCTCCCAATCTTCATCATTAAAAGACATTGCAGTGTCTCCCTTGTATATCAGGATGGTGCACTTTGTGTAATTAATGATTAAGACACTTACAACACTTTCAACTGCCATGTTTTCAGGGTTTGATGAATAAACAACATATAAAATCATACCCTTCATGTGAAAATCACTATCCGCAGGCACTTGAAAAAACACTGAATGTCCTTCATTGGTATAAGCTAGCCAATTAGGACAATTATCACCCGGAAGGAAAAAATCATTGGAAGCATTGTTTGTCAATCCCTGTATCATGAAAAAAATAAAAAACATAGTTACATATGTAATCATGTTGTTCAAAAGAACTTTTGTGCCACTATAGTGTCGTTGCAAATTCAGAAAAAGGTGAATGTTTACGACAATAACAGTGTACTGTGTAAAGAAAAATATAGACAAGGAAACTGAAACAAATTCAATCAATAGTTTTGTAATGTACCTATCAACCGCAGAAAGTTAGGACATATTTCTGCTTCAATACTAGTTGCGAAACTCTTACATACTATTGACTCATCTTGCAATGGACTAATAATGACCATTGACAAACGTTGGTTCACATACTATTACATACTCCTTATACTTCTTTTTACCTTCCAGAAGCTCTTTACCACCCTTAGTTATCAAAAAGTTTGATCATCTCTATCCATCAGTTTGGTCAAGATAATAATTACATCATTCAGTTTCACGTAAAGTGTTTTTTCTTCAAGGACTCCAAAATGGGGACGGTCCTCCAATATTGCTGTAGATCACATGTAATAGGTTTGGTATATATGGCATGCTCCAACTTGAGGGGAAGTGTTGAAAATCATGTAAATAATATGTAGATTCATCATATAACTTGTTATAATTATGTAACTACGGTAATGTATGTATAACTTTTTGGTTATATAAGCTTATAATCTTCTCTCTGTTGTGTAACTTAGACACATAAATTTCATCAAAGTTTCTCACTTTTCTCTAACTAAAACCCTATGCTTTCCTACCTGATTCCTTTCCCTCTTTACACAACAAATCCCCTTTCCCTCTCCCAAGCTGAATGTTTTGTCTACAAGTCCTCCGACGACTGTATGATCTAATTGATTTTTTTTATTAAATGGCTCTATCGATATATTACTTGCTAATTTTATTCTCCTCTTTGGAGAAAGTCTGATACTATATAAGCCTAATATTAGCATCATACAAAATCCCATCATTTTTTCCTTTTAGCTTATTTATCTTCAAAAGCATCATAGTCAATTATTTACAATATGATGTTTGCTTTTTGCACAGAGTCAATTCTAGCAAGTAAAATCTCTTTTTCCTGATTATATAAGAGCTGCGACGCAAGTGTAATGCAACAACTTCTTGAAGTTATATTTTTCTATAAAGAACACTACTAGAGTAACATTTAGCTTATGTTTCTGGGATCCTACTAATATAGAGAAGGAAAAAACATATATTGACGGTTTCAAAATTTCAGTAGTTGTAAAGAATCTATCTAGCTACCTAGTTCTTGTGTGATAGTAGATATACAATAATTTTTTTTTTTAAAGAAAAAAAAAACGTATCAGTGTACATAAAAATAATGGAGAGAGAAAATAAAGATAATGTATATAGATAACAAAAAAGAAAAGTAATGAAAATAAAGATGAGGATAAAATTGGAATTTAGAAAAAGCAAATAGGATATAATTATCTAAAATTTATTTACACAGCTGACATTATCATTTCTGTTAGTTTATCTGCTAGATACTTGAATACATCAAATCTTCCTGAAACTGTAGTTTTTAAGGAAAAAAATGCAAACGGAAGCTGAGAAAATAACAAGATATAGAAGGAACCTGTGATATGCTCTCCTTAAGAATATCGATGACCATGGAGTAACTTCCCATTCCAATCGAAAGCGATCTCAATGAAAGATCTGAAATTTGTGACGCAGATGATGATGATGTGTTCGATTCAGTAAAATTTAGGATTCTTTTTAATTCTTGAGTCAATTGAAACTCGGAGCTGCATTGCACCAAAACACCTCGAAGCTTGGAAAGATTCAGAAGCATTGATGATAGATATCCCAAATTATTGTCCTGCGCTTCAATGGAAATTAGAGAAGATGACATGCCCCTGAATGGGGAAATCCCCTTTGTTGGTGACATCCAAGACCATATGAGAGAAGGAAAAATATCCCGTGATAATCCTTCATATCCACATAGGGATATATATGCAATGCTTTTCAATCTTACTATTATACGGGGAAATTCTTCTACAGCTGTATCTTTTGCAATTAGAGTTGTCAAGGATTCCATTTGCTCTATATCATCTTCTAACTTGTCAATCTTTGAACAACCAGAAATGATCAGAATTTTCACAGATTTCAACTCATAGATCCTTTTTGGGAGATTGCTAAGGCTTGTACAGTCCTTCAAATTTAGCAGAAGAAGTTTACTTAGATCTCCAATGGATTGGTGTACCTCGGACAAACTTGGACAGTCCTTGAGAATGAGCTTTTCTAGATTCGGAAGTTTTGAAAAGTCAGGGGTGTTTGTCAAGTCCGTGGAATGACTGAGATTGAGGAATTTCAACCTCTCCAGCAACTGCAAGAGAAGTTTTTTAAAAGGAAAAATCAGACAAGCAAATGATGGAAACAAGAAACAATTACCATTGTCATGAAAACAAATTTCATACCTGGGGCTCCTTCCATACTAGTTTTAGATTACTATGTTTTAAGCTAATAGCAACTACTTTTTCCAGAGAAAAAATGTCAGGTATGTATTTTAAAGGAAATCCCTGCCAATAGACCCATCTCAGGTGCTTGGGAAGATACTCATAATCTCCATCAAGTTTTACACAATCAAGATGCAGAAGTCTCAGTCTCTTCATTTTCTCAAATGCTTTGGTATCGAAGCAATCTGTATTAGTTCCTTGCAACTTGAAAGCCAATCCCTGAATAGCCTTTGTTCCCTGTCAGAAAAAAAATTAAAAATAAAGGAAAACCTTTATTGATTTCTCACAAGAAAGCAAATAAGCAATACGTTAAGTTGTAGCCCAAGCATGCATCTAGTACACATTACATAACAAATACTCTCCGAATTACGAATCCTACAATTTTATCCAAAATTTGGAAGAAGAAAATGATTCAAAGACAAAAAAACAAAAGTTTCAAAATAGTATGTAGAGAAAAAGCTTACAGTATGTTCCATTAACACGTCAAGTACTTCCTTATGAACCCACAATCGACTACGCTTCTCAGGTTCCTCTGGTGAACTTTGACGGACAATTTCTCTTCCCATATTACGTAGCAAATCATGCATTCCGAGCTTGTTATTCTTTTCAACTTTTACGAGGCACCTTTCTATCAACACTGTTATTCCAATATCAGCATGAAGTTCACAGCCATTCAGTATCTCAGTAACATAGACTCTGTCTTTACCAATAAAGAAACAACATATGTCAAGAAATATATCCCTTTCCATCTGATCTTCCAAACCATCAAAGCTTATTCTTAGTTTCTTTTGAACTTGTTCATTGGGAATTATTTTTAGTTTTGATAATACACTTTCCCATTGTTTTTTTGTCCTGTCATGTAAGAAAGATCCAAGGACTGCGAGAGCAAGTGGTAGTCCCCCACAGTAAGCAACTATACTTTGTGAGAGTTCAATCAAGTCTTCTCTTGGTCTTGCTTCCCTAAAAGCATGCCAACTAAAGAGCTCAAGGGACTCATTTTCATTCATTTTCTCCATTTCATAAACGCAGTCGACCTCAAGTTCTGTAAGGAGGCGTATATCTCTAGTTGTAATGATTATTACACTTCCTTCACCAAACAGTTCACGATTTCCACATAGGGCCTTTAACTGCCCCAACTTAGACACATCATCAAACACAACAAGTACCCTTTTTCCACAAAGTCTTTTTTTGATTATAGTTGTTCCCATTGCAATGCTATGGATATTCACCTCTGTTCTAAGGACATCTAAAAGAAGTTGTTCTTGTAAATCAATTTTCCCTCTACTATCTTGTTCACAAACTTCTCTAATATTTTCAATGAAACTTCTGTCCACAAACCTGCGATGAATTTCATTGTAAATGGCTTTGGCTGTGGTTGTTTTACCCGATCCACCTATACCCCAGATCCCTACCATACAAACTTTGCTTGATTGGTTTTCGATAAACCCAATCACTTTTTTCACATGGGATTCTAAGCCAACTGGAAAATCGGTAATGGATAAAAATGTGTTGTTTAGTCTTCTTAAAACATCACGAACAATTCTTACCACTTGTTCAGCTTCACTCCTTCAATAATAATTATGAAACGGATAAAATGATTATAAATTAGGAATGGTTATGAGCTAAAAATATGCTTCATTATCAAATAAAAGAACGAGGAAACTAGAAGCTATTGATTTACCTGCAATTCCTCATATCCCAACCAGACACATTTGCAGCTTGGGTGAGTGCACTCTTCCAACTGGACAACACTTCCTGTGAATAATATCTGTCTGAAAATTTTTCAAAGGCTTTTCCAAAAGCACCAGTCTGTTTACGTACATCAGATGGGTCAACACCGTAAAATATGGGCAAAACCCTCTGGTCATAACTTACTTGGCAGCATTCCATTATTTTTGTCAGCTCCTTAAGGCACCAACTAGAATCTGCATAGTTTTCGGAGAAAACAACAATACATATATGAGACCCTTCTATTGCTCGCAATAGTTCAGGTCCCAACTCCGTTCCCTTCTCAAGGTTGTTATCGATGTAAGTGTGGATTCCACATCTTGAGAGGTCATTATGGAGATGAGAAATGAAGCCGGAACGAGTGTCTTCCCCTCTGAAGCTCAGGAACACGTCGTAGATCCATCGACGATTTTCATCTGACTTTGGACGGACAATTTCTCTTCCCAGATTACTTAGCAAAGCATGCATTCCGAGCTTGTTATTCTTTTCAACTTTTACGAGGCACCTTTCTATCAACACTGTTATTCCAATATCAGCACAAAGTCCTAAGCCATTGAGTATATCAGTAACATAGGCTCTGTCTTTACCGATAAAGAAACAACATATGTTAAGAAATATATCCCTTTCCATCTGATCACGCAAACCATCAAAGCTTATTCTTAGTTTCTGTAGAACTCGATCATTGGGAATTATTTCCAGTTTTGATAATACACTTTCCCATTCTTGTTTCGTCCTCCCAAATAAGCAAGATCCAAGGACTTCGAGAGCTAGTGGTAGTCCTCCACAGTAAGCAACAATATTTTGTGAGAGTTCAATCAAGTCTTCTCTTGGACTTGCATCTCTGAAAGCATGCCAACTAAAGAGCTCAAGGGACTCATTTTCATTATTTGGCTTCATTTCATAAACATAGTCAACCTCAAATTGTGTAAGTAGGCGCATATCTCTAGTTGTAATGATTATTACACTTCCTTCACCAAACAGTTCACGATTTCCACATAGGGCTTCTAACTGCTGAAAAGCAGACACATCATCAAACACAACGAGTGCCCTTTTTCCACAAAGGCTTTCTTCGATTAAAGTTGTTCCCATCCGAATGCTATGGATATTCACCTCTGTTCTTAGGACATCTAAAAGAAGTTGTTCTTGTAAATCAATTTGTCCTCTTCTATCTTGTTGACAAACTTCAGAAATATTTTCAATGAAACTTCTATTCACAAATCTGCGATGAATTTGATTGTAAATGGCTTTGGCTGTGGTTGTTTTGCCCGATCCACCCATACCCCGGATCCCCACCACACAAACTTTGCTCGATTGATTTTCAATTAAACCAACCACTTCTTGCACGCGGGATTCTAATCCAACAGGAAAATCGGTAATGGACAAAAATGTGTTGTTTACTTGTCGTAAAACTGAATGAACAATTCTCTCCAATACTTCAGCTTCGCTCCTTCGATAATAATTATAAAACAGATAGAATGAGTATATATTAGGAAAGGCTATAAGCTTAAAATGTGCTTCATTCTCAAATAAAAGAACGAGGAAACTAGAAACTATTTATTTACCGGCGATTCCTCATATCCCAACCAGATATATTTGCAGCTTGGGTGAGTGCACTCTTCCAACTCGACAACACTTCCTGCGAGTAATTTTTGTCTGAAAACTTTTCAAAGGCTTTTTCAATTGCTCCCTTCTGATGACGTACATGAGATGGGTCAACATCGTAAAATATGGGCAGAATCACCTGGCCATAAGTTCTGTGGCATTCCATTATTTTTGTCAGCTCATTAAGGCACCAACTAGAATCTGCATAGTTTTGGGAGAAAACAACCAAAGATATATGAGACCCTTCTATTGCTCGCAATAGTTCAGGTCCCAACTCTGTTCCCTTCTCAAGGTTGTAATCGATGTAAGTGTTGATTCCAGATCTTGAGAAGGTATTTTGGAGGTGAGAAACGAAGCCGGAACAAGTGTCTTCCCCTCTGAAGCTCAGGAACACGTCGTAGACCCATTGACGATTGGAGGATGAAGAAGACATTGACTCGATGAAAGGAATTTAAGTCAACGGTTGAAGACTGAGCAAAACTGCAAAATACAGAGTGATGAGATCTAACTTGACATACCATCAATTATTCAAGTTTCACAAGATACATATTTGACGCACCTCGTTTGTTAAACAAAACAAATTTTATGAAATTTTACAAATTACATTATATATTATAAATAATACATATTCCTTCAACATATATTATCCATAGTAAATAATATAATTTATAAAAAAATAATTTATAAATATAATATGAGTAAACTATTTCTCTTTTTAAAAGATATAAACTTAAGTGCTTTAAAAAGACAGATAGATATGAAGAGATAAAACTTACACTTTTTTTTTTTGTCTTTGTTTTTTTCAATTGAACTCACATCTCTTTATGTTTATCTCTCTTTTAAAAGGACATAAGTTTGTATCTTTTAAAAAAGTACACACTTTTCCCGTATAACATAAGGAAATCTTTTTCTTATGTTGACGTAGATAAGTTATTTTATGTTAGTAAAATAAAATAATGAAAGGGACCCATAAATGATTGGAAAAAAAAAAATTAAAGTGAGACGCATCTTTATTATATGTATGTAAGAAGATAAACTATCTAATATAATATTGAATAAGATAAATATAACCCTATAACATATCCCAATAAGTAAAAACTCGATTTTAGGCTTTAAAGCTAAACTCCTACTTTATAGACTTCATATTGTAAATTAGTCAATACGCCACGAGGTGCTTGATTCCCTTCCATAAAGAAGCCACAAATGATGCTTGTGTATGAGGACATGTTTCCTGGTATGCCCCTGCCGCTGGCCCCACATGACTCTATACCACTTTTATTGGCTAACTTTACAGGTTTAGTCGACAAATTATCATTATTAATATTATTATTATTAGACTACATCAAATTTCTGGCTTTCAAAAAGATTCTGCCTTATGTTGAAATTTAAAACAAGGAAGAAAGTTTTATCTATTGTTCACACTTCAAAAGTCTCTTTTGTAAAACTCTAATGTAAATGAGCTTGTTAGATATAAAAATTATGCATGAGTCTCCATAAAAGTTTTTGAATTGCTTGTTTTAAATATAAGTATTCAGCATAACTTCAAATTCCTTATTGAGATCTCCTCCTATTTAATTGTTACCACGTTAGTGGCTAGTGAAGCACTTTATAAAATTAGAAAAATTGTTAAGCATGTGAGACGATCAGACTTGAGAGTAGGTGTAGTTCTTTTTTTATTTCTTTCACTTCACTTCTCCAACACTCTCCCTCGTAGCACATTTCTTTCTCTCACTAGATTCTTGTGACATTTTCAGTTCTTACCAGAGAATTCCCTACACTACAAAATTGCCCATCTCCCTCGTTCTTTAAGAAATATCTTCACCCCCACATTTTCCCTCAATCACCAGGTCACTATCCTTTTCCATTCCACATTTTCCTTACTGTTTGAGACAGTCAAAGGAGAAGGGACTAGAAAATACTTCAACTATCTAACTAAACCCTTGTACGTATGTCTGAATTCGCAGCTCATAGGGGACAAGACTTACTGGAGGCTGACTGGCTGAGAACAGAAAGGAAGATTAAGGAACATCTTAGTGAAGAACTCCAATAAGTAAGTACCCAAGGAGACTCTTCTTTCTTCTGTGTCTAGGGAAAAACTCGGTTTTGCAGACATGCATCAAGTGTAAAATAGCTTATTGTGTGGGCTATAATACTTCATGATTGACTAAGATGATGGATTTTAGAACAAACCCTCCATGCATGTGGGTAGATGGGTCTAGGAATCAAATGATGAAAATCGCTTGTTATTTGCTGTAAAATTATTTTTCGGGTATACTAGGGACATGAATGAATGAGTTAAAACCATTAGGCAAAAAAGATCATGATTTTGTGAGATACAGAAAATTTTGGACGAAAATCTGGTTTCTATCTTCAACTAATCAATTACTTCTCGATGATTAATCAATTACTTGATGAAAAAGTGATCGATTACTTGATGGAGAAGTGATCGGATAATTCCCAAAAAGTATCCAATTACTCCCCGTGTAGAAACCCAAATTCTTTACTTAAGCTATACAATGTCGATTGTAATTCAATTCTATTATTGTCAGTATACTTATAGTTGCAAAATACCACAGATTATATGTTGTGCTCTACATAAAAGGAATGATTGATACATTTACTTTATTTTGTCATTGACTTATCCTATGATAAGTAGTTTAGTTGACATCAGCGAGGGACGCCTCACTACATTTGTATTCAAATTACACACAATTACAAGTCAACTAGTGCAATAGAGTGCACATACAGTAATTTAGATTTGAAGGTGCAAGGCCATACAGTAACTTAGATTTGAAGGCGCAAGGCCATACAGTAGTATTTTTGATTTCAAGTGTATCCCCCAGTAACTTAGGTTTGAAGGTGCAAGGCCATACAGTAACTTAGATCTGAAGGCGCAAGGCCATACAGTAGTATTTTTGATTTCAAGTGTATCCCCCAGTAACTTAGATTTGAAGGCGCAAGGCCATACAGTAGTATTTTGATTTCAAGTGTATCCCCTTGTTGATATGTTTTATGTACGTTCTGAATAATGAGAATATTATGGATTATGTTTGTATCTTTTGTAGAATAACCCTTCTTGTAGGTAGTTTTTTAAATTCAAAATACCATATAGGTATTTGGCCGAATTTACGTGGTTTAGAATAGAGAGTAGTCTCTCTAGGTATTCATTGAAATTCGCATCTCACCCATTTCGTGGGATTTATTTGAAGCAAAAAAGATCAAGATAGTGAAGCTGTAAATGTTTGAGTGTACTATTGTATAAGTGTTTCGGAAGTTGTAAAAACCATGTATTTGAATTTAGGACTATTGTGGAGCTTCAAACTTCCCTGTAATTTTATGACATTTAGTCTCGTGACACTAAATAATAGTGTTGTGTCTCTTTGGTGCACCAAGTTAGTGTGGTGTGTCACTCTCAAATAGTGTGTTACAAAAAGTTTCATAAAAATATACCACGCAACATCAAATTACTTATTTTAGTTTCTGAATTATTGATTTCAAGTATATTTCAATCATAAATAATTAAAATTGTATGGCTAAATATATTATATTAGCATAAATTGTCAAGTTCTCTCAATTTTTTTTTTCCATTCCACATTGTTAGAAAGAATATCTTTTGTATATCCGTAAATATCTATTACCTTATTTCATTATGATTTATTAATGTATCTATATATTGTACCTCTTGTATCAATTTAATACTAATGAATATTTTACAATTCATTTCGTCTCTTGTTATTTAACATGGTATCAGAGTCTAACGAAAAGAACCTTGATCCGTTTCTTTCTCCTGCTACCCCTAAGTCGGAGTCTACTATTTTTTCCAATTATGTCCTTGCTCCGCTGAGTGTGGATAAAATGGATGGGTCGAACAATGATTCTTGGTCATAAGATTTGCAACTTTGGTTGGATGGGCAGGATTATACATCTCATCTCACGACTAAGGCTAATTCTATTACGGCTAATGAGCGCACACAATAGAAGATATAATATCCCTAACCCAATTATTTAATAAAGTGAATGTGACTAAATAATTAATCATGCATTATTTGGTTGAATTAGGTAAAATATCTAATTAAATGAATTAAGGTCACTTTTGAGATAAAAAGTGCATTCAGTGAAAATTAAGGGATAAAAATGGGTGTAGGCAAAAGTACCCAAAATATAAAAGTAAAAGTGAAAATATTCTTAGAAAAATATTCCAGACCTTTGGGTAAAGTTCGAAAGAGAACAGAGTTGAATAGATAGATAAGCTATTACCTAGTGGAAATAACTTAACTAAGTTAAGTGTGAAAAACATGACTCATTCATCAATTCTTCTTCTTATTCTTCGACGCCAAACAGAGAAGGAGAGCATGAGAGACCATTTGAAGCCCTAAACCACAACTTCTTCATTTCCCCACCAAATCCACCCATTCCAAAACCAAAATTGTAGATAATCATTCCCTCATTGCAAATCCTAGCTTAGTTTTCAGTGGGAAGCATTGTGGAGTGAGATATCTTCCTCCAAAGATTTCGACCCTTTGAAGATTTGAGGAGTTTGAAGGTAGTTCTTTCCACGGGAGCTTAGGAGATCAACATCCCTTGGTTGTGCAACCATTTGTGGTGAGTTTCCACTCCTTAAACCTTGTTTTCGTGGAGATTGCATGGTTGAGGACGATAATGATAGTGTCATGGTGGGTGGTATGAGTTTGGGTTTGATTTAAGCTTAAGCCATTTGTAAAAGTTGTTGTAGATGATAAATAAACTGTAGAAATGGATTTAGATTTTCATTTGGTTGTTGTTCAATATATTGAAAAAATTCATGCTTGAAATGTGGAGTTCTTGCATTGTTGAGTCATGGCTTGGATTGGTTGTGTTAATGGCGTCCATTGTGTTGATAGGATTGAAGCAAGTGGACCCACATTGAGTGACCAACCATTGGTGGAAGCCATGGAGCTTGAGTAGCTCATTGGATTGGTAAGTTCATGCCTTAATTATGGTGTGAATGAGATTATGTGGTTTGTGAATATATTGTATGTATGTTAAATTGATGGATTTCACACTCTTGAATAGGGTGTATCGGTGATTGGAAGGAATTTCCAAGTGGACATACCAAGAAAGTTTGGTGTGGATGAGTGAGCTAGAGGAAAGCTTGCAAAATGAGGGGAAGCATCAAGAGGTAAACCTTTGGATCTTGGAGGTTAATCCCTCTTGTTGTTCCACCATTGCTTCTATGGAAGTAATGGTTAATGAATGGATGATTGAGTGGTAATGTTAGTATTATGGTATGTTTGCATTCATATACTATTGTTGTGTCATTGGAGAAAGGGCCAATGGACAAGCACTAGGGGCTAGGTTGTATGCTTAGTGGAAAGGACTAAGATGCAACTGAAGCGTGTGTGATGATTTGATTGTTTAATTCTTTGGCCATTTAAAGGCACGAGTATGCTTTAA